GATTCTCATCACATACTCATCTGGAGAGAGCGGGGAAGCTGCAATCATCCCTCGAACATCATTGAAAGGGACAGGTATGGAGGTGGCGGTGTTCTCGTTTGGGGAGGCATCATGTTTGGTAGTCGTACAGACCTTCACATCTTCGACGCAGGTTCAGTCAATGGGACCCGTTATTGTAACGATATTCTTTTTCTATATGTGCATCTTTTTAGAGGCGCTATGGGTCCGAAGTTCCTTTTCATTGACGACAATGCACCATGTCATCGCACAGTAGCTGCCGAACAGCTCTTAGAGAGTGAGAATATTGAACGTATGGATTGGCCGGCACAATCTCCGGATCTCAATTCCATCGAGCATGTATGGGATTTTCTAGGCAGACGCTTGGCAGCTCGTACCTTACCACCAGTAACAATTCCGGAGCTTCGATTGGTGCTGCAAGACGAATGGGCAGCAATGCCTCAACAACTCATTGACACCCTCATTCTCAGCATGGGCAGATGCTGTGAAACCTGCCTAGCAGTCAGGGGAGATCATATCCCCTATTAAAGACCGGATGTTCTTGCTGGACACCCATCACAGGAATGTTTCGGCCTTCAGTCATTGCGCTCCATGCTACTTTTTCAATAAAGCTTCTTTTTATCCCTCTGATTTCTCTTTTAGTAAGTGTTGCTTACATTACTCATGTCCTTACGTATTGGGGATCTTACGGTATTAAATGTGTTGATTTGGAAAGCTTTTGTACAAAGTTATATTGGAAAAACCGTCTCGTCCTTAATTTTTGCACACCAGTGTAATATTGTTAAGTAAACCTAGCGCCAGAGTGTCGCTATGGTAAACAAAGTGAATTTTAAAGAATGCATTTATTCTATTATAGTTTATGCGCTGTCGGCGAAGTAGGTTTAATTCAATCTAATAAGTTTAAATAAAATGCAAGAAAAAATGCATATAATTTAATATTCCATACAAGGAAGTCATGTGGTCATGTGGTAAGTTTTTATCTATTGCATACTTAAGTGGTTTTTTACATGATAAAATCCGTCATATCGTTTCACATAACATAACCTATTCCAATTATTAAAATATATCCATATCTTTCCATTTAAACCTATAAGATGGGCACCGGCCTTTTCTAACCTTGCTCCCGATAGTAAATTTTTTCTTACATTTGGATTATACAACACATTTTCTAACTCAATCCAATTGATTCGGTTGCCTACTTTTACTGCAAATGTGATGGTACCCTTTCCTAGTACTGTACTTTCACAATTCCCTACAGCTAGAGACATACTTATATCATCTATTTCCTCAAAGTTTATCATTAAATTTGTTTATTGCAAAAATAAGTCGTAGCTGCCGCATCTACGACCCAATTAAATTTATCTGCGTTATCTCCTTTATCTCTAGTTGACACATAATTTTCTACTAACGTTAACTCTTCTTTAAACTGCCCATTTTTATCATCCATTTTTATCATGATTTTGTACTTAAATTTTCTTTACACTGAGCGATTAAGAATTCACTTTTATGACATCTAATACAAAGTCCTTTCTTCGTATTCCCCACTTTTTCTTACATTTAGTTTTACTTTCAACTTGACTATTTTCCCCGGAATTTGTGCTAGTAGTATTAAATACATTTATCTTGCTGTTTTCTAAATCTGCTTGTACCTGGCGAAATCGACTTTCTTCCCTTACCATGCTTCAACAATTTTTCCAGTGTAAAATTCTCGTCCTTCCACCTATAAATCAATTGCACGCTTCCACAGTATACCTGGGGTAACCTCCAAATTGCTTGATACCCTTTATAAAGATCTGCTAACTTGTGTCTAGGTTCGGCCAGCTTCTTAGCAGTCATTTTTATTCTTGCGATGAATAGCCTGATTTCCTAATCAGGTGAATATCTAGTGCTGAATAATTCATCTAGAAGCTGAATTGTTCTGGCTCTTGTTTTTGGTTCAGATTGCTTCTGTAGAACCTCCCATGCTTCTTTACCACTTGAACATGCTTGTGTCAATGGCCTGAACTCAGTTTTAGTTCCATAATATAATGTAGTGAAGGCTCTGTTTTCTCTCAAATTGAAATCCTGCTTGTCACGCCTTGTTGCAGGTTTATCTAATTCTTTTTCTTTACCTTCTATGAAGCTCCAAACAATTTCTATCTAGCAACGGCATCTTTATACCGATTTTCCATCGGTCCCAGTTGTCATGGTTCAATAACTCAAACCCTTCTGATAGTAAGGACATCTGTAGTTCCTAGTAAGCACAACAGCTTGAACCAACTTCTAAACACTTCAGATTCTTTTCACAGATAATGACCCTCTTCGCTTACATTCCTTCAAAGCTAAGTTGAGCTGGGCTCATAACCTGTTGGCGTTGAAGCAGTCACAAAAGCATTCTTTAAATAAATGCCGGGACTAATATAAAATAAAACTGATCTTTATTTCATGACTTTAAATAAAATAAGCTAGGCTATACAATAGCCTGTACATTTAAAAACAAAAAAAGAGAAAAGAAAAAACCAGCAAACTCCCTTGCATTCATGAACTCCAAATATATATATATACACAACATCGGCCAACCGCTGATACTGCATCATCGGGCAACCATGTTAGTTAATCACTGATTGGCCTCTGAACTAAATTTGTATGAGGAAAACAACAGAAAATTAAGTCAAGAGTTGAAAGGTATCGTAAATCACAATGCGACAGAAATTTTTAACAGTTCAAGAACAGCTGCTGATATACATCTGCTGGGTGTGCAGTTCGGATGCGTTGGAGATCGCACTATTTATTCATTGGACAAATTTTAATCATTTGCATATTTGTTCAAAACATTTGTGCATGCGGAAATTCAAAGCAATCGAATGATTCCTTCTTGTTTTTTTTTTTTTTTTTGTTCTTATAGGATGTTTTTATTGGAACAAATAAAAAGTAATAGTAATAATAATGATGATGTATAGGGAAAAAAATTCAGCTTTGTATTTTATTTTCTATCTGAAATCTAAAGTTTTGATACCTGCAAGAAATTTTTATTGGTTACACTTTGTCATTCAAATATATTAACAGCTAATAACAGCTTTTATCAAATAGTTTTAATATGTGTAATTAATCAGTAAATAGCTTTCTTTAGCTTTAATTAAAATAAATTATGAAAACTTTCTGAGTTTTTGAAGAAAACCTTTCAAATGTGACAAAACTTGAGAATAAATAATGACATCCTAGAGTCACTTTCTCTTATTAAATTTTTCTTTGACACATAAATACATATGTATATAAATAATCATAAATTTTGTATTTAAATAAAAAAAAATTTTTGTGTAATGTCCATGCACTCGAGAAAAATCACTAGAAATTTATCTTCTTCATAGATTATAGGTACTCATCAGCCAAGCAGCTTTTTTTTTTTTTTTTTTTTTTTAATTTTGATTTTAATTTTCACTTTGGGGGGAAAAACAACAGCCAATAACATCCATATCATAATAGGTAGCCAGTCTTTCATGTTTGGAATTAACAATCAACATCCTAACTTTCCAATAAAAGCACAGATTCAAAACACCATAATGACTAACAAACTTTATAATAGCATGGACTAAACTGTGAATGCAATGAAAAAGCAGATATTCTCACCAAACAGGCTTCACTTGAACAACTAGGAGATAAAATTGAACTCCATGGCCAAGATCTACATTAAAACATGTAAAAAATGGTAATGTGAATAGGATCTAGGACCACCAGGCCACAGAACATTTCTGTTTTTTCCAACAGTCCATGGCAACATTATATCAGCCTTTTTTTTTTTTTTTTTTTTTTTTTTTTTTTTTTCAATATATCTCCGGTCATGTCATCTTCCCCACATATTTCAGTGATAAAAAGTTATCAACCATTGATCTGTGTAAAGGAGATATTGACCACTATCTCTTTATATGTCCACTAAGAGATTTTTCTCATTAGACACCCAAATAACTATTTAATATCAAAATTTAGATTCCTGGTGCAACATGGAAAGATATACACTCTGTATAGCATATATAAATCCTTTTTTGATTATTTACATCAACAACCTGTATCACCCATAAACTCTACTCTCATAATTGTGCAAACAGTGACTACATGACAAGCCTCTTGTGACCTTTTCAGAAACTTTTTGTAATCTTCGTGCATCCTCTGTAACATTCTTTGTAAACTTCTTGTAATCCTTTTAATGTTATAAATAAACTGCCTGTTCAGGTCCTGATGGTTAGTGAGTTGGTACTTTACCAGTTTCATTTAGGATGCTGTTTTGCATCCCACACATTTATACCTGACCTGACCTGACCTAAAAAGCTGTTCACAAAAAAGTGAGTATTCTTAGTGCAAAAATGTATAACTGAGTATACTTATTTTTTTACGAGTGCGAATAAAATTTAATCAATCAGATCAGTATTTTATGATCTCTGAATAAGTTTTTTTATCACACGGTAAATTAATTATGTCAGTTTTTAGATTTTCTATTATGTTATTACATTAGTTTTTAATAACAATGAAAATAATATAACCTCAGATGCCAAGTAATTTAAGTCTTGAAATCTTTGCAACACTGTATTTGCAACAAATACACAATTGAAATATATTCGCACACTGAATAAAATTGCTTCATGCGCCACCAGTTTGAGACCACTGGCCCTACTTGGTGACATTTCTGTGCCATTTGGCAATTTTTATTATCAATTTTGAACTTATTTGGTGAATTTACTTCAGTTTAAAAAATTTAATCTATAATATTTTGATTATATGGACTGAATTTCTAATTGGAATAAACCGTATATTTTAATATACGAATGAGCTTAACTTCTACACTTCGATAACAATGTTTAAATGATAGCATTAACCATGACTGCATTAAGCAGCATCTTCTAACTAACATTTGCAGTGGTTTTTGTATAGCTTTTTCTTCTTATCAAAGAAGTTTGAGTGCTTGTAATGCAAATTCATTGAAGAGAGGATGGATCAAATCTTTATAAACTTCTGATGATAATGTTGTTCAATGTATAGTTATTCATTTTCTTTACATTTTCAGACTGCAGCTTTAGAATTCATTGCACTAAATAAAGATATCATCAAAAGTGATGTGTTTTATGAATTACCTGAAGATTTACAGTCTGAAGTAGAAGAAATGATCACCTGGGTTGAACTAAGGTAATGTTACATTTTTTTAAATGGGATTGTATAATTTAATTTCGTTGTAAATTTGTATAAAATTTTCGGTAGCAAGGTACAAATTTGCTGTGAGGCAACAATTTACATTTATAAAAATTAAATATACCTTATACTGAATAGGTATTAGTAATAAATTTTTCCATGTATTTATCAATTACTGCAGTTGGTTAAAGAGTTCAAATCTTGAATAGCTTTGAATAAAATTGATGAAAAAAATATGTTTTCAAGGGATAGGTAACAAAAAAGACATTGATCCTAATCATATATTGCTTTGAGATTAAAAGTTACAATTAATTTTTAACCTGGTTTATAAATATATTTACATATATAAACGTATATTATTTAATTTATACAGGAATTCTCAGCGAAGTGAAGAGCTCTCTGGTCCTCAGTATCTTGCTCCTGATAGTCCTAGTTCTATGTCATCTAGTCTGTTAGATATTGAAGAATTAACATCAGCTATGAATATGTCTGGAAAAGAAGTCAGTTTGTTTGCTTGCTACATATATATTTCTATAAGCATGATATAAATAATTCTGATACATATTAACTAGTTTATATTTTTTTATAATATGTGGGATATTTCTTGTGCTTAATTTCGTATCTCATTAAAATAAGAAAATTTGTTAAAAAAAATTTTTATGCTCCATGCCCACAACAATCCTTACCTTGCCTTTATTTTCGTAGCCATTGATTGTAGACATATACCAGTCTCAAAAATGTTCTAAAGGAAGCAGAGATTTATGTTTTTGTATTTTAAAAAAGTTAATTTTATATCAGATATGATGTCGAACTTGCACGTTCCACCTGTATCTATGATCTTCTGCCAAAGTTTTGGTAGTTTTTCAAAGCCTTCGGCCCAGAAACTTGGTAGCTGCAAACTCATTTTAGACATTGTGTACAGAAGGGAAGACTTCACCACCAAATGTAGCTGCAGGTATGAAAAAAAGTAGAAAGTCCAAAGAAGTAATATTGGTGCTATATGGTGGGCATAGCAAAAGATCCCATTCGAGTCCGTACAGAGTCCAGCTGGTGAATGCAGACAGATGTCGTTGTGCATTTTCTTGATGCAGCATTACTTTTTCGTGCCATAACTCAATTCGATGAAAGCAGTGTCAGTATGGACTAACATCTTGCTGTACACCTTACTTTAGAAGGTTTTACCTTTTTCCAGATACTCTTTGTGGATAATAATACCACAGCAATCCCACTAGATACAAAGCATGATCTTTTTGATAATCAAATTTCGCTTTGCAATGTTGCCAGCAGGCTCACTGGGTGCAAACCCAACCCTGTTTTCAGCGTGTGTTGTTGAAGTAAATCAACGGTTACGATCCGGTCCAGAATTTTGTCCCTGTGTTGATATTACAGCAGATTAGTGTTGTTTCAAACACGTCTATCCTTATCTGCTTGTGTCAGCTCATGCGGCACCCAGCGATTGAACTTGTACGTCAAATTTATGCAATGCTTAGTGCAACTAACATGGCACTAACATCTAGTTCATTGGACAGTCGACTATCATCTAGTTCCATAGCAAGCTCTCAAGTAGTTGCATACTGATCTTCTTCCACAATTTCTCGCAGGCGGGCCTCGTCAACATCATTAGGATGGCCAAAGCGCCGTGCTTCTTGAATGTCAATAGTTCTTTATTATTATTATTATTATTTTTCAGTACCAAACCTTTATAGCGTCATATGATACAACATTACTATCTAAAGCTGTACACATGATTTTGTTATGTTCTGTAGCTGACTTTTTATAACAAAAATTATGATTCTAATCTGGTAGCATGATAGTTCCATTTCAGACACCTTATATTCAATGATAGTATTTTTTTATAAATTTCACAGCATAGCTTTTAAAGCAAGTCTCTTTCTTTCAAATGCCAAAAATCATTTCACAAAATATTATTAAATCTGCCAACATGAACTGTTTGTTCAGAAGATATTTGTGGTGGCGAAAAACTTTTGTTAAAACCCATTACAAACAGTTTGCCTTTCCTAGGACAAAATTTGATCGAGATATTTAATTTCAAAATTTAGGATGCTTGACATCATTTTGAATTAGCAGTAATGTATTGGTTAATAAATAAATTAGAATAATTCAAGGTTAATTTTTTGCTCTTAAGCGCCATTTCATGATATTCTTTTGTGATTTACTAGTATTTTTATTTATGATTTTGTTATATTTGGTACGCCAAAAAAATTTTCATGTGAGTAATTTATAAGTTTTAAATTTTCTGATAAAATTTAATACTTAGAATAATAATCTAATAATTATACAAAAATTCAGTAAAGTGCAAATGTTTTTTATTTTTAATTAATGCAGATGATCTTATAAGTGGGCTTTGTGCTAATACTTGAAGGCTGCCAGTGTTTCTTACAATATAAATTCTATAAGAATGTGGAAGTAACATCTACATTTTGAAAAACGTATATATACATCAGTATTTTTTACAATAGTCTGCATAGAATGCTCAATGTGTAAGCTATTATCATCAGAAACTTTCCTAAATACCCTGCTGGCCATTAAAATTCCAACACCATGAAGGAAAGTAAATACACAAAAAGGTATTTATTGTACATAAACAGTATGGCATGAAGACAAAGTGATTAAATTTTTAAGCAGTTTGGGGGTTTACAGGGGTGCGAAATTAGTAGAAACAGCTGCCACCTTTGGCAGCTAAAATAGCCTTTACCCCAATAAGCATAGAGTCGAACTGGGCTTGGATGACAGGAAATGGGCAACTTGTTCCATGCTGCTTCTATGTCTATGCCACACTTCATCAACCATATTAGCTGGAGAGGAGTGGTGGGCCAGCCTCTCAGCCAGGGCAGCACTCGAATACCCTGTATATCGAGGAAGGCCAGAACACAAAGTACAACATATGATCCTGCATTATCTTATTGGAAGATGCCGTTTGCCAGGTCTCAAAGATAGGGCACAACCACTGGATGTAAGATGTCAGAATACATCTGCGTTGAAATTACCATCAATCTGAACTAGAGATGTGTGTGTTCTGTACCCAACAGCTGCGCAAACTATCACTCCAGGTGCAGGGCCTCTATTCCGATATCGAATGCAAGCAGGCAACATGTGATCTCCTTGGAGCCTCCAGATACATATACAGCCATCAGGCATGCAGAACCAGGACTCGTCTGAAAAGATGACATTATGTCACTCGTATATCAAGCTTTGTAGTTCAGTGCACCTGAGTCCCCATCTTTCTCTGTCTGCATTGTCAAGGAAAGCCAAAGTAACAGTCGCGTGCTGATGATTCCAACGAGATATATACTGGTAGAGAGTGTATCTGCAACCTCCAACCAGTTCCAGCATTAGTGTCACATGACTTACGGCCGAAAGTCCGGAAATACTTCATTTCTACGGGATGAAAGATGATTACTCTGCTTTGTTACATAAAATTTAAGAAAAAAATGGCTATCTGCTGCAGCATCTATGCATGTAAAGAAAGTTTTGTAAAAGGAGGACCTGTAACGTTTCATAGGTAACTTAAAACTGCATGATTTTTTATTTTATTTTCAGTATTTTTATCATTTTACTATCTTTGTTGAATTGGTTGGAAATTTTTAACTATATTGTATAAGAAAATTGCCACTGTATATATGACATTTTCGGCGTGTATTAATAGCATCAAAATGTATTAAATACTGTGGCACTATTTACTGGAATCACCCATTAATTGAGTTTTATATTCTTTTTCCGTGTACTCTATTGAAACAGAAAGCTGCGCCAATTGGCGCTAACCTTTTTTTTGCCAAGTCGTACATGTTTTGATTTCGTAAACAAATACTGCCTGTGATAAAAAAAAGAAAAATGCTATTATTATTAAATTATTGAGAAATGATTGTGCGATATGTTTACTTCATTAAAAAAAAAGAAAAAAGAAAAAAAGAGCAATTGAAAATCATGATTGATGCAATATTGAACATGAACATTTAAACAACATAATTTTAAAGCTCAGTGCTTTGTTATTATTTTCTATGAAATCAATTAAAAATAATCTGGACTATAATTCTGTCTCATCTATGATGCTGTTTGAAATTTATGATAATTGAAAAAATATGGTGTGAAAATTTAAATTTTTAAAAATGCTTAAAACAGGCCTTAACACATATAACAGTGCGTTTTTTTCTCTTTAGTATGCAATGCATTAAAAATAAACGAATTTTTTACTCCCTCAAATATTATAACAGTATTGCAATTAATTTTTACTATTTTAATTTTTATATGTTATTCAAAAAATAAATATAATTCTAAGTTTCCATTCTCAATTTTTTAATATTCATTTTAGATTTTCTTTCTAAAATTATTTAAACTAAACATCTTAAACAACAGTGCAAATAATTTAAAGCGATTATTAAAAATATAGATAAAATATTCAGGGAAAAAAAGCATCAAGTTATATTTAAAAATAAGTGTTAAAAATCGAATAATCTAATTCGAGATCGTTATCTGCCAACTGCCAGCAGAAAGAAATAAAACACTCACCCTGCTATATCAAAAGCATGCCAAACCTGTGATGAACAGCCTAAGCTATCACTCCCCAAGAGTCCAAGACCATAAATCACGTGGTATATGTTGGGATCCAGCTAAGCAGACAAATTCCCTGTGGAATGAGCTGTCTACCTGTTATATGAAGTCGTTGGATGATCCATACTGCTACAAACATCGATGCACCATACAAGCGGATATTGGGCATGTCATAAACATACTCATTTCGTGACTAATAGTCCAGGATGTGATTGTACGGTTGCCCAGGGCTGGCCTCGCTATATGTTTGTTCTCTCGGGCGTTAGTCGTGGGAGGGCATCGAGATTCTGCATGCCACTCAGTATGACCGTCAGCAACCCATTGATTCCATATTCACATGACAATGGTTGGATGTCAGCCAGAGCGACCGCCAGTGTCACGGAATAATAATCCACACTCTCGATAGATAACGATTCTACCTCTATCGAATTCTGACAGTTGCTGGTAAGCCTTTCTTATTCAAGACATAACACGATATTCTGAGCAAACTGTGATTTTACAAAACACTCTCCAAATTAGAAATCCACTATGCAACATTTCTTTTATGCAGTGCTTCAGATATTATTTCTCCCTCCTGCATCATCTAAATGCTCTGAAATACTAATAATTTGGATATCCCAACGTCTTTCTTTCATGTAATGTTGATGTTTGGTGTTGCAATTTTAATGGCCAGCAGTGTATTTTATACTTAGTTATGATCAGTTGTGAAAATTTCAATCTTCAGTTTATGGATGGCCCTTGGATATGATACCGATTTCGATATCAAATATCTTAGTCAATTTTTGTCGTATGGGAATCAGATGTTTTGTTTTTTATTTTTAAAAATTAGTACAAAATTTTCTGAAAGTGAGTATAGAGATTGAAGGAACATGTAAAAAGTCAGATTTTGTAATTTTTACAAAATCAATTTCTTTAAATTTAAAAATGCCCAAACATGAATATTTTAGTCATTTAAAACATTTTGTAATTGGAACTATATGTCTACAACTAATGATTGCAGAGAACTTCTTTGGTTTGTTGCATTTCACTGAATTAAACTTATTCACTGCATATAATCCATACTCAACAGGGATCTAATACAGTAATAATGATTAAGATTAATGTATCATACTATTAGTAATTAAAATTAATGTGCCATTCTCACTTTTTATGCAACTGTATATATCCTCACCATTTTGGAGGCTTTAGCTTGTAAAGTAGTAACCTAATTACTTTAAATATGCTTTAAATTTCACTCATTTAGCTCCTTCTTGGCTTATCTAATTTCTTTCATATATTTCTTCTTTTTTTTTCCTTCCACTTGCTTAATTTCTTTCATATATTTCTAATTTTCTTTTTTTATATACTGTTTTTAGCTAATTTTCTCATGTTTTTGATCTGAAAAGTAGTTATTCTTTTAACCTGTTTTTAAAACAATATTAAAAGCTGTTAAGTTTTATGTTTTCTTTCTAAATTTTACATTGAAAACTATGACTATTCACTATTTCTTCATGATATTTATTAATCAATTTTAACATGAAATTAATTTTATAATGATTGAGATTCGTACCTCTTCTTCCTTCTATGTAATAAGAATATAGAATATAATGCGGATGATCTAAATTTCCTCTAGTAAAGATTGGTTGCTTTTAAAGCAAAGATTATCATTCTCATTTAACGGTATTCAAAGAAGTAGCAGTTTAAGTAAAATTCAACCAACTGTAGTTAAAGCTTTTGTTATGATAATATATTAGGTTCTGATTTATTAAGATCCATATATATATATATATATATATATACATTCAGAAGAGATATATCAAATATAAATCATATAGCTCAAATGGCATATTTAACTTTTTTGGGCTTCACCGAAGAAATAGTACCACTTATTATTAATTACATTATGCCTCTTTTATGCCTCCAGGATAAAGCAGAGAGCACTGTGAGACTCAGCCAGTAAGCCATGGCCCTCACCTTGGATACACAGTTGATCCCAAACTTTCCTAAAAATGCAGCTGTGGTACTTTTCTGCCTTACTACAGGCTATGACTGTTTCCCCTCATACCTGTATTGACTCGGGCTTTGCGACTGTCTATTATGTCTTCTGTGCGGACAACATAAATTTTTGATACTACTTATCATGAATCATGCTCTGTGCTTGTGATTTTAAACTGTAAAGTTCAGAAATATTGGAAGGTTAGAGATCTAATGGGGTCATAGCCAGTCTTCTGGTCATTCGTAACAAATAAATAAATTACATTGTATAGCTGAAATTCCAGGATATAGTATATACTGAGATAATGAGAATCAGCCATGATTGCAAAACAAGAAAATGTGATCAAAGACTGTTAATAGATTTCATGTTAGTAGCAGAACCAGGTAGTGAGATTCATGAAGAAGGGGGTGTCTGCAAGTATCTCTAACTACCTGATTGTCTTAAACATCCACCATTTATACCTTTTAGAAGAGCTGTTTTGCCTAGGTTTTTACAGTTTCCTAGATCAACTATTTTCAAATAATTTTTTGTATGCCCACTAATTTAAACATACTGATAAAATTATACACTTTAGATAAGCTGAATTTCTTTTCATGATGTTGTTTTCTGAACTTACCACAAATAGGTTTTAGAAGCTTTAATGACTTCAAAAGCAGATAATAGCAAATGACAAGTATATTTAAGTAGCAATAATGGGTATAAATATGTGATTTAAAGATATTCTGCTTTCTTACTTTCTTTAATAATATAAATATCATCTTAAAGTTTATGAAAATAGAGACTAAAATAAGTAAATATACAAATTTAGATGATAAAGGCTGCTTAAATGCAGGTCTTCGTGACAGAACCATAAACCTGTCCTACTCAGAGTATCACTGATAACATCATCAAAATATGATTTTAATGCTGTGAATAATGAAAAAATTAAGGAAAAATTAATATCCAGTATTATTTAGGTATCATCTAATTGCTAAATCAATAAATCCATATTGACTACAATGTAAAACTGAATTATGAAACTGATTAGTTGTTTATTATGAAATTTATTTTAACATAACATACAATTTAATTTCCAGACACTTCGAAATATAAAAAGGAACTAAAAAGGTAATATCTAATTGATAATTTCAAAAATTATTTCAAACAGATTTAACTGATTTTAACTAATTATTAAAAATTTATGGTTTTCAAAATTCACTGTAAGTAAATAAAATAAAAACATTTTTTAAAAGTTTAATTGTATGTATCATAGTATATATTTTAAAATAATCATCAGTCAATAATCAGGGTGTAATATAAAGCTTAATTGATTTTACTTTCTAAAGTGTATGTAATGAAAAAATAATTTGATCGGAAGTTAAAATAACATGACACTTTCTCATTTTGTTTGTTTACTACCTTTTTTTTTTTTTTTTTTTTTTTTTTTTTTTTTTTTTTTTTGTTTGTTTGTTTGTTTGTTTGTTTGTTGGGGGCAGGCAAATGCATCACTTTTATGTCTGTTATATATATATAATAAAATCATATTTAACTAAATTACCCTGAAACTAGTAATAAGTATTATTTGAATTATTTCTGAATATAAGCCGGGAGGTAAAATTTTGCTGCAGAATTTAGCCAAAATTGAAAACATACATGTGTAAGCCAAATTTTAAATCGCACACAAAAATAAAACAATTAACAAAGAATACAAAACTAGAATGGAAAACAAGAAATAGGTTGATTATTTTTAATCAGTTGATTATTTAAAAATTATGCAGTTTTATGCGAAATATTGAAAAACATGCATCTTTGCATTGAGCAGAGTTGTGACATTAATTAAAATCTAACTTTTGTGCGATTAGAATGTATGATTTTGTTTCTGAATCATGTTTATATTTGTAAAATTATAAATATTTATACAAAAATTAATTTAACATAATCCTAACAATTTTTTGTACCTTTTGTGCATGTTCTTAATTTATTTATCTTTAAATTATTTATAATGCAATGCTTTTGTACAGTCAAAAGTCGTTAATTCGGACACCCATAATTCGGAATGATCTATAATCCGGACCTCAAAGCTAAAAACTTTCTGCACGTGCTCCACGTTGACACATGCGCATAGGCATTTACGCGTGCGCGTAAGACCTCTTACGACTGCGTATTTGTGTGTGCGCAAGCGCAGAATACGTTTTCACGTGCGCGTTTTATGTATAACAGATGGTGTAAGCTAAAATTATCTAATTATCTATTTCAGTTAATTTTGATGATTGCGTTGTTCCTTAATTTTCGAATTGGATCCGTCTTATTATTTTTTGTAGACTGTAAGAGCAATACTAAAAAAGTAAACTTGAACTTTCAATTATGTCAAATAGAATTTTTGATTCTGGAGCTCCCAAAAGATCGTACAAAACGAAAGTATGTTTCGATGTCCATCAAACAAAAAGTGGAATTGCTGCTGCAAAAAATGGATAAAGACATGAAGAAGGTGACAGAGAGGTTAGTGAAAACGAAAAAATTTCGATTGACAAGTTAGTCGGTATTCTCGGCACAGCAATTAACGGGACTTGAACAGCGGAACTTTATAAGTGAACAAAAAATAATGTCTGTTTATAGAATTAAAGAGAAAGTATTATCACATAAAACAAAGCAACTTAAACAACTTACATTGAAAGAAATGTTTAATAAAGTAAACAAATAAATATTAAGCTTTCTTATGTAAATTTTGATACCCTTTAGATCATAATTGTTCTTTATTTCATAAATTACAATTTCATATTTTTAATTTTAGAATTTCTGCATGCCATCTTACGCTATTTAAACTGATGATCTATAATCCGGAATCGCCGAAGTCCCGACGAGTCCGGATTAACGACTTTTGACTGTATTATGATTACATCATATACTGTGTATTGTAGAGAAAATGTAAAGTGGTTAATGAAGAAAATCATGCTTTCAAAAGGGGTCAGTGCAGAAAAAAGATTGGGAATCCCTACTGTAGAAGAAAAGAAAATTTTTCTTAATCAGTTTTTCCCCAGTCTTCTGTTTGATTTTTATTTTTACTAATATGTACTATTATGATTTTGTTTACATACTGTTATAGTTTTATTGTTACTATTAATTTTAAGTCTCATAATTAAAGGCAAATTCTTTGCATCTCTCTTTTTTTTTTTTTTTTTTTTCTTAACTAATAAAGTACTTTATTGCTGTGAAGAAGTCAGCTCAGAACTATCTATTTAAAATACTATAAAGCATTTTCTTCACAAGCATTAGGCCTTTTATTCGTTAATATTAGTAAAATATTATCAACATAATCTTAATATAGTTACTGATTCTATATTATTTTATCATGCTGTTCAAATTGGGTAATACATTTATCTAATTTTGTAGGGAGAGCAAGCATCTGACTGTAGCTCATTAGAGGATCTTCCTTTAACGCATGATTCAGCACAGTTGGAAGCATGTGTTGCTCAACTCAGGGACATTGTTGGTGAAACAGTAGCTCGGGAAGAACTTATCCGTGTCTCCCTTGCTGCAGACTATGATGTTAATAGGGCCTTGAATTTCTTCTTCTCTTGATTTAGAACTAAGTGATTCTTGTAAATCCTTATTTGTAATATATGGTTTTATTGTCATTTAAGATTTTAATTTCTTCTTCAGTGATGAAAGGGGAGAGTATGACCTCTCAGAGCTCAGATTCCCCCCCCCTTTTTTTTAAGCTATTAATAGCTAATTTTTTGTGATTAGCTAATAATAGCTAAATTTTTTAATACATTCCACTGTCTATTGGTTAAAAATACAAATGACAAATAAGCATATGAGGAAGAATATGAGAAGATTCACTTTTTCCCATACTGAAGTATTTTTTACATTTCTGAGTGAAACAACTTGTATTAAGGTATCTGACATTTCTAGCAGAATTTTATCCGAATTATTATTTGAACAACTTGGGTATTTTAGTGACTTAAATATATATATGAGGCGTATTCGGAAACTAAGTACCGTTTTGAAAAAAAAAAATAGTAAAACAATTTTTTCGAATCCAATTTTATTTTTACATGAAAATACATGTCTTAAACTATTTTTCAACATAGTTTCCGCCAATGATCAAACAATTGTCATAACGGGTGACCAGTTTTTTTATACCATAGTCAAAGAAACTTCCCGCCAGTTTCGATAACCACGACTCCACAGCATTTTTCGTGTCATCGTCAGATCCAAAGCGCTTGCCACCAAGCTCACGCTTCATGTGCAGGAACAAGTGATAGTCGGACGGCGCCAAGTCAGTGCTGTACGGCGGGTGATCGAACTGCTCCCAATGAAACTGTCGAATTAACGATTGAGTGACACCAGCAGTGGGGCAGAGCATTGTCATGGAGCAACACAATTCCTTTACTGACCATTCCTCTTCGTTTGTTTTGAATGGCACGCCTTAGTTTTGTTAAAGTCTCACAATATCGTGTCGCATTAATGGTTTCACCTCTGGGAAGAAATTCAGTAAGCAAAACGCCTTTCCTATCCAGAAGACAGTGCACATGTTTTTTGTGATGACATTGTCACTTTGAACATTTGTTTTTTTCGGAGAATGAGTGTGTCTCCACTCCATCGATTGTTGTTTCGATTCTGGTGTGAAATGACACCCCCAAGTTTCATCACCTGTCACAATTTGGTTTAAAAAGTTTTCCTCCCTCATCATTGTACCCCGTGAGAAATGTCAGGGCACTACCAAGTCGCTTTGTTTTGTGAACATCAGTGAGCATTTTTGGAACCCATCGGGGGAACACAGTTTTGCGATAATTCAAGCGGTCAGACACAATTTTGAACAAAACAGTACGTGAAATTTGTGGAAATGCCTCTGAAAAGTTGTCATTATGAAGCGTCTGTTCTCATGAATTGCTTCATCAACTTTCATTTACCAAATCATCGGTGACAACAGAAGGGTGACCACTCCGAGCCTTGGTGTGGACATTTGTTCGACCTGCATTAAACATTCTTACCCTTACCCACTTCTCACCATTCCATCACTTAATCGCGTATTCTTCTCCGTAAACTTCTGTCACTAGACATAAATTTCGGCCAGTTTAAAACATTCCTTCACGTTCAAAATTTAATCACGGCGGGCGAATCTCACAGTGAGCGGGAGAAACTAATTGTCTTAAACATTTTGAACGTGCACAGCAACTGAAAACACAACATAGAGCAAACCAAAATGGCGACAATTGAAAGTCAGTGAACAAGAAAGACTAGTGCGCTTGCCCGGGACGCCTACCACAGCGCTGCGACGGCGCTAGAATGAAACGGTACTTAGTTTCCGAATATGCTACATATATATATATATATATATTTTTTTTTTTTTAAGAATACTGTTGTTTATCTGCAATACTTTATTAAAAAATTTAGTAAATATTAAGCTGTGCAATTATATGTGATTAATTATTTATGCATAAAATAAATATTGTTAGTTTTACTTTTTGGTAATAGCAGCAGATAATGAGCAGTATTTCTGCAACTGCTGTTGCATTACCGTAGTTTCAGAGATTCATAAAAGCATTTGTTTATTTTGGGCAATACAGTATAAAAATTAAGGAAGAAAAAATGCAAATAATTATTTTTAACATGCAAATGAAAATTCTTCTTCTCTACATAAATTATTATAATAAAATTGGAATAAGTTTGTATGCATTATATTACAAATTAATTATTTACCTATTAGATTCTATTTTTATGTTATTTTGTGTCTGATTAAACGTATCCATGCTTAGAACTTTGCATGTATTTGCCCGGAAAGGGGGAGGTCTTCCACATCTTTTTTCTCCTATAATTGTATAAAAAGATATTTCTTAATATGAAATTTAAATTTGATGAAAATCCTTCTGTTTTCCTTGATTATTCAAGTATTTCCTGATACAATAATTATTAAACCATCATAATTTTCTAAGAATCTTAAATTCCATTTTCTTATATTCAGAATATTTTTTAAATTATTTTCAAAAATAATTACTTTTTAGTGAATCTTGCCATAATTTATGGTGCATCTTCCTTATTGAATGTGGATTTTTGCTTTTGATATGTTTTAAATCTACATTTAGCTTTTTTAATTCATCTAGTTAGAAGTGTCTTATTTTTCAAAATGGAATACTAATCTAAACTTATGCTTCAATAATATGTTTTATTTTTAATTTGAATATTAAAAATGTGAATGGTTTCTACATATTCAAGGGGGGGTTAAATTTTTAAGAACAGAAATTTTTAAGTGAGATGATAAGAGTTTGAATATTTGTTGATTCTTTGATTTTTTATTTAATTTTTATTCTATAAAAGTTTGCAAAATCCAGTTCTTCAAGACATAAGCTTTCATGAAGCCTCTTGTATGCCTGAAAACCTCTCAGTTAGTAATTCAGATTCTTATTGTGACTGTCCCTCTCTGAGGAAGGATTTTCCATTTGTAATTTCTTCCAACTTTCAAATATTGATTTTCTGCATTTCTAATGTGTTGTCGTTGAATTAATTAAAATTAATTTTTACGCTAAAATAGCATGTACGTCTTTCTCTATTTTTTTATTACTCTTCTAGATTTATTGATTTATATACCTCTACGTATTTTCTACATAATGTATGCTTTTCTAGTGTTTGGCAGTTGTAATCAAGAATATATAATTATTTTATCAAGATAAAAATAATATGGGCAATTTTATCTTAGAAACTATATCGATAAATAACCTGAACTGTGATTATTTCAGTAAACTGGTGTTAAAATATTTATCCTCTACAAGAATTTACAAATTTGTTCTATTTCTTGATATTTATTAAGTACATTTTGTAATATTTGTTGATTTATATTGCATATGCATTGTGTTGGTTTCTTAGATTAAATTTTATTTCTTTTTTTAATTTGGCTTGTGCATTCATAATTTGAAAACCATCAGGCATACTTGTGAAAATATTTGACAACAAAAAGTTTTCTTTTATGCCAAACTAACAATCAAATTTTAATCATTAGATTCTATTTGAACTCTGAAAGCTAAAATGTTATTAAAAGTTTCAGATTCCTATATAACTTTTCAGTGTTTTACAGGATATTATATTATGTCCTTTTTGGAGAATTTAAAGGCTAAATTTGTTTTATTTATATGTTTGTTTTTGCTGAGAAAGAATAATTTGATTTTATTCAGAATAAGTAAAAGCAAGTTTAGGTATGTTAACAGTGATTTTATATCCATACATAGATTTATTTTATATTAAAGTTTTTTTTAATTTGCTTTCCTGTTGGAAAAATTATGATCTTCTAAATGTTTTTAAAACAGAATTATTCTACGTATGAGAAAAATTAAGGAATTCACTTTGAATTCAGCTTAAATCATTTGGTTTTAATTTCTGCAAGATTGAAAAAGCTGTTTCTATTAAGCAACTTGCTGTGTATTTTTAGATTTGAACAGATGTTGCTGAATTCTAAACATTTTAAGTGCTGCAGCAGAGTGTTTAAAATGCCAATTTTTTTTCCAATTATTTAAGTATTTCTATCAAATTAAAACTGATTACCATAATTAGTGCAAATTTCCAAAGCAGAAAGTTTGCAATTTTGTAAACATGTAAATTTATAACAGTAATTTCATAAAATAATAAATTTTTATGAGTGTAATTTTTCACATTATTTTTCAAAAAAATTTTTTAGCATTCAGGTAGTTTATAATACTGAGCCATCTGATTTATTCATTGCTTATTCTTTCAAAAGCATTTTGCTTTTGCAGTTTATGCTGTAAAACATTTTGTCTAGCCATTATACGTTTTTTGAATGTAATTTCTGATATATCAGGGAAAAGTAATGTAAGACTCTGGTTTACTCCCAAAATATTTCTTATGAAATGTCTTTCATACGCAGTAAAATTTCTGTAAACGATTTTTTTATGCTGGTGAGAGGAAAGTAATCTATGCTTATCTTTATGATTAACTGTAATGAAAGGCAATTTTGAAAAAATGTGGAGATTTCTTTTAGTGAATGTACAATCAAATCTTATTTGATCAGGAAAAAAAAAAGTCTTCTGAAAGAACATTTTCATTCTCTTAAAATATATGAAATATGTATATAATTCTAAATGTTGACATTGTGGAAGTTCATTTAATACGAAGTATTTTGTCATCAACACATATCTTTGCTATGTAATATATATAAATATACAAACACACAGACACATATATAAACATATATATATTATATGTATGATTATCTTTCAGATTTATGTAAAAATTTCAAAATGATTTGATCATATTTAAAAAAAATCTGAATATATATATGCTTCATTAATTTAATATAAATGTGATATGTATTACATCTTTGTTCATGTATTTATGCATCATTTATTTTCCATTCATTGCTGTTAAACACATTTGTAATCTGTAGGTCATCCTGCACATCGCATTTTCATTTTCTTTCGATTTCTCTTTAGTGTAAAAATATTAATTATCTTACATTATGAAATCATTTGTTACCATATGTTTGTCATGTTTTTTGTATTCTCTCCTACTTCAAGCTATGGATAAGGAAAATTTTAATTTTCTTTTTAGTTGCATTAAAAAGTTCCTTAAGTCCATGCTTACATCCTTGCAACAAAACCTGTTTAACTCATCGCATATTTGTTTTAT